GAGTGTCTGTGTGTACGAGAGTGTCTGTGTGTACGAGAGTGTCTGTGTGTACAAGAGTGAGTCTGTGTGTGTGTGTACGAGAGTGAGTCTGTGTTTGTACGAGAGAGTCTGTGTGTGTGTACGAGAGTGAGTCTGTGTGTACGAGAGTCTGTAAGTGTGCGAGAGTGAGTCTGCAAGTGTACGAGAGAGAGTCTGTGTGTACGAGAGTGAGTCTGAGTGAGTGTGTACGAGAGAGTCAGTGTGTACGAGAGTGAGTCTGTGTGAGTGAGTCTGTGTGTGTGTGAGTGAGTGAGTCTGTGTGTACAAGAGTGAGTGAGTCACACAAAAAGTCACACACGCACACACGCACACACACACACCTGCAATCTTGATGTTGAGGTTGTGGTCCAGCAGCAGGTTTTCTGCCTTCAGGTCTCTGTGGACGATGTTCCTGCAGTGACAAAAATAAACCGCCGCTACGATCTGCTTGAACTTCCGCCGCGCGTCTTTCTCCGCCATCCGTCCGTGAGCCACGAGATGATCTGAGAAACACACAGGAGCAGAAACACCTCAGAGACGTTCAACACTGTTCTGGTGAACAGATTTTTCTGAATCAAAGTCCTGTCTCACCGAAGATCTCTCCTCCGCTGGCGTACTCGGTCACCAGATAGATCAACCGCTCCGTCTCCATCACCTGCCAAACACACACAGACTCAGCCAATCACACTCAACCGAACACAAAACACAGACCAATCAGCTGCAAGCGTGAGGGAGGGGGCGGGACCTGGTACAGACGGATGATGTGAGGGTGTCGCAGCATCTTCATGATCTGAACCTCCCGGAAGATCTTCTTCAGATTCTCATCGTCCAGCTGAGTCTTATCCACAATCTTGATCGCAACCTGAGAGACAGATCACAATATCAGCATAAACACTAATGTACTTTATTAGCATAAATACAGGCTGTTTACGGCTGCCAAGCAACATGATGATCAAAAAGCATCTATGAATGAATTCATGTTAAATTCAACTGATGTGCAGATACTTGTGTGTGTGTGTGTGTGTGTCAAATCAGATGGGTGGATTGTGTTTTATGTCTGAGAGACAGACAGTAAATCAGATGGAGAAGAAGTAGACAGCAGCGACTGTTCCAGTAACGCTGACGCACAGTGTGTGTGTGTGTGTGTGTGTGTTTGTGTGTATTTTAAGCATGCGCTTCTATTAATATCACTGGATCTGCTCCAGCTACAGTGATGCAATCAGACTCCAGCTGACACTGTGCGGTCTGAACAACATCTGGACACACACACACACACACACACGTATAAAATTATTACAAGAACCTAGTGATGAATTGTACAAGAAAAGAAATTTAACAAGAGTGCAAAGAGAAGCTTTATCAGCATTACTAAATGATCCGACTTTGACTATTCAACGAGCAGATAAAGGTGGAGGGATAGTGGTTATGAATACTAATACATACGTTGAGAAAATAAAAGGGATGTTACATGATGAGGCATTTTTATAAGAAACTTGTAAAATGTTTACTTTGAGCCGAAACGTTTGTGTCTTTTCCCATCAGTAATGAATGTAAAATAAAAGAAAAAAGAAGATTGTTCTCGTGAGTGCGGATCATAATTTCCTATACTAAGTAACTCAACAGATTGACGCACCAAAATAAAAAGATCAAGTAACGCAAGAGTGCAAACGACGTTGTTAAGCATTTTGGCCATTCATTTAAATAACGATGGTCTTTTGAAAACAGGTTTCAAAGTAGTGTCTCTTTACAAAAGCGACATCGCCAACTACTGGCCTGGCATGACTCATGCCGCATTTTTAACGAGTTTTTGCGCAGATCCGTGTGAACAGGGATTGTTTTGACAATTCTGTTGTTGTACAAAATTTTTCAAAAACAAAAGAAAAATGTTTCTGTTTTGTAGCACATTGTTGTCATATAAACGTACCCCAAAGCCCAAAGTATTCTTCACGTTTTACGCGTATGCGAGGGACAGTGTACAGTGCTCAGACTCAGAATAGTATGCGTTCCACTAAATTTTTGTAACATTGTGTACTTTGTACGCGCAGGTCGCACATGTGCATTGAAGTAATTTTGCAGTAATCAGTTTTTCCACAAGGTGGCAACACTATCCCGGGCCGTTGTTTCACAGTAGAAATGAAACTACAGAAACAGAACAACAACAAAAACATAGCGGAAATCGCAACAACAGACGCTCACAATGACAAGCGCTTGTGAACGAGAGGGTATGAGACAGCTCAGCTTTGTTTCAAAAGAGTTCAAAAATATTAGTTATCGGTCATAAGGAAACAGGGAAAAACAGAGCAGACACTGGACATGGATGACGCTTTCTAGAGCGCATGTGTCGAACGCGCGCATACACGCGCATCAAATGGAGTATACTTCGAAAGGCTACGCGTTCGACTGGAAGAAAAAAAAAAGGAAAATGAACGGTGATCGGTAACACTTCACAATGAGTTAACAATAATTAATGCACTTAATGAACACTAATTAATAATTAATTAACTAACAACAAGCAATACATTTGTTACAGTATTTTCCAAACTTTGTTAATGTTAATAATAAAGCAACTTTAATTTTTTTAGCTCATATCAGCTCAGCTCCATTAAATAACAGATTTTGGATTTGAATACTGTACTTGTAAATGTTGAAACTACATGTTTCTGAAGTATTTTACTTTATTAGTTCATGTTCAATAAAAGTTAACAAAAGGACGTTTACTGTGCAGAGTCCAGAAATATTCCAGATCAGTTTCTCACATCACATTCAAAACGATGCGTAACTACAAAAAGAGCAGCTCATGAACCTTACACACACACACGCTCTAAATAAAACACAGAACTCAACTGATATCCTTACAACACACTCACACACACTCATATTCACACTCACTCATATTCACACACACACACACTCATATTCACACACACACACACACTCATATTCACACACACACACACACTCATATTCACACACACACACTCTCTCTCTCACACACGCACACTCATACTCACACACACACACTCACTATCCGAGTGGACGGGACAGGGACAGAGAAAGGAAGCACAGGAACATGATTCAGCATGCAGCACACGGGGATTATTGGTGTGTGTGTGTGTGTGTGTGAGTGATGTAATGCTACATTTATCAAAATCTTTTTGTTTAGTTTTTTCCCTTTTGGAAAGTCATAGAAATACTACCATATGTGTATAGAGTGTGTGTGTGTGTGTGTGTATATATAGAGTATGTGTGTGTGTATATAGAGTGTGTGTGTATATATAAAGTATGTGTGTGTGTGTGTATAGAGTGTGTGTGTGTGTGTATATATAGAGTATGTGTGTGTGTGTAATGTGTATATAGAGTGTGTGTGTGTGTGTATATAGAGTGTGTGTGTGTGTGTGTGTGTATATATAGAGTATGTGTGTGTGTGTAATGTGTATATAGAGTGTGTGTGTGTGTGTATATAGAGTGTGTGTGTGTGTGTGTGTGTATAGAGTGTGTGTGTGTGTGTGTTGTGCTGAGTAAGCGCCTGTTTCCTGCACACAGAACAAGCCAGCAGAGAGAATCACACACACTGGTGTGCACCGCTGCATGTTGAGCCGCAGACGCTCTGCTCTAACGTCAGCGTGACACCGCTAGCAGCATCCGACTGAAGCTACAGCAGCCGCGACACACTCAACGCCTCAGAATATCATCAGAACACAGGATCACACATCATTGGAGCACACACACGTGACGGTATCAGCAGAAACACTGTCAGGGTGAGACATCCGCAGGATCTGTCCCATCACCAACACCACACACTCACGTCAGCATCAAATCTGAACAAACTCTGAACGCTTTATTTATTTCATGACAATTAAGCACATTTACCTCAAACTTCATAACTGTCACTTTTTTTATTAATGTACTATAGTAGTTATTTTTTTAATTATATATATTTCAATTGTGAAATATTATACATCATGCTACACTACTGTTCAAAAGTTTGGGTTTTTGAAAACAAAAATTAATACTTTTATTCATCAAGCATGCATTAAACTGATCATTTATAATGTAACAAAACATTACTATTTCAAATAAATGCTGTTCTTCTAAACTTTCTATTCATCTGTGAATCCTGAAAAATAAAATGTATCACAGTTTCCACAAAAATATTGTGCAGCACAACTGTGTTCAACATTGATAATAATCATAAATATTTCTTGAGCAGCAAATCAGCATATTATACTGATTTCTGAAGATCATGTGACACTGAAGACTGGAGTAATGATGCTGAAAATACAGCTGTGCATCACAGAAATACATTACAGTTTAACAGATATTAACACAGAAAACAGCTGTTTTACACTGTAATAATATTTCAGCATTTTTACTGTGTTTTCAATCATATAAATGCAGCCTTGATGAGCAGAAGACACTTCAGACATTAAATCTTCTGAACACAATCACAGTTTCCACAAAAATATTGTGCAGCACAACTGTGTTCAACATTGATAATAATCAGAAATGTTTCTTGAGCAGCAAATCAGCATATTAGAATGATTTCTGAAGATCATGTGACACTGAAGACTGGAGTAATGATGCTGAAAATACAGCTGCGCATCACAGAAATGCATTACAGTTTAACAGATATTCACAGAGAAAACAGCTGTTTTACACTGTAATAATATTTCAGCATTTTTACTGTGTTTTCAATCACATAAATGCAGCCTTGGTGAGCAGAAGACACTTCAGACATTAAATCTTCTGAACACAGTGTATTTACTGCACTGTCACTGATTAATTACTGCTGTCTAACTGTAATGATGATCAGTGTTAGTAATCACCAGAATCACACAAACTCAGATGTAAATGTCTGGATGCATTACAGTAATCAGAATGAGATTTGATTTGCATTACGCTAATGAAATATTAGAGGAGAAAGTGCTTAACTGTCATAATTCCAACAATGCAAAATATAGTTTCATATTGCTTTTCCTTTCATTTGCGATGAAAAATAAGCTGGTCATGTTCATGTGAACAATGACAGAATGTACTATAACTGACCATCACACACACACACACTCTTTCTCTCTCTCACACACACACACACACACACACACACACACCTGTTCTCTGACATCAGCCTGGATTAAGACACGGACAGATGAGAGAGAGAGAGAGACATTCCAGATGAGAGCAGGTCTCAGCATGTTAACTGGCTTACACAGCTAAGCGTCTGCGCTCACACACGTCACTGCTGAACACACACACACACTCACACACACACACACACACTCAGACCGATGGACGACTATCAGCTCAGAGTCTGAGACACACTGATGTTTATCTGAAGACACACAAGCACCAATCACAGCTGGCCTCTAGATCATGTGACAGTCCTGATCTGCAAGCGCAGGATCCGGCTCTAGCTATCTCATCCATTTTATTTATTTTTTAACTGAGGAATCAAAGTTTTGAATAATAACATTGGCAAATGTTACAATTAGACTCGTCACCGCCAGTGTTAAGAGTTGATGTGATGTGCCGCTCTGTGAAGGAGCGTAACGCAGAACACATCGCTAGTGCTGATATTCACAGAACACGTTTGAGCTGAGAAACAGAAGACGTGGGGAAAACGCAAGATTAAGAGATGCCAGCTGAGCTTTTTTAAAGGGTTAGTTCACCCAAAAATAAAAATTAGGCTGTTTTACTCACCCCTGAGTAGGGTTGGGAATCGAAAATCGATTCTGATTCCAGAATCGGATACGTAAGCTCAGGAATCGGATACTTGTTGTCAAATTAAAATTTTGATTCTGCCTATCGATTCCTATGCACTTTTTCTTCTTCTTCATCTGTGAGGACCGGAGCTAGCGATCTGCC